CTCCCTCCCCCTGCCTGGCTGTATTACACACACAGCAGTGTGTGCTTGGCTCACTAGCAGGCCAGGGGCTTGGAGAAGGAAGCTAATCCCACAGCGCTGAATTGCCACTTAGAGACCCCGTGGGGCTCTGTTTGTCCACTGGGCCATCTCCATCTAAATGGAGATGCAGCTGCATCTTCCCCCCAGGAGAGGGGAAGCAATTTGTCGATTGGGCAGGGGAGGGAGAGATGAATTATCCTCTGAAACCGAGGCTCTTTACCCAGTTGCTGCAGAGTGGCCACCTTCCTGCACCTCCCACCACACACACCCCAGGGCACAGCATGGGGGAAGATCAGGGAGATGCGGGAAGTGGAGATGCAAAATTCGGAACGAGGTCCAGATCCTGCAGCTCAGATACTGCAGGGGTGAGTGCAGGAGAGACAGAAGGAGAAATTTCATACACCAGGGTTTGGGGGGCAGAGGCCTGGGGTTTTGGTTCAGGCCCATTATGAAGCTGGGAGGCCACTTGCAAAATTCAGATCTGTATCCGGATCCAAATTTCGAACCTCCCTAGACTTGGGAGTGCTTGGATCTCGGGCAGAGCTCCTGGCCTGTGTGTAAACAGTTCTGGGGGCTCTGTCCCACCATTTGACCCCCAGCCCCCCGTCTTCCGTGACAGTTCCACCCCCACCTCCCAGTCAGTAACAGTGTGTGTGGTTCAGTGGCCCTCATGGGATGAGTTTGATGGGTCTCAGCCCAGCTCCCTGTGGCACAGGGGCTGGGTCGCAGTATCCACTGTTGCATTCAGTGGCTGTTCCTGGTGGACAGATGTGGCAGAGAGACTACGGACTGAGTGGGCCACGGAGAGTGAACTCCCTCCTGGCCCCCAGCACGGGCTCCTTTGAGGCAATATGGACCTAGGGATGGAGGTCAGTGCATATAGCTCGGCCTCTCTCTGCCGTACAGAAGAGAGGCCCCTGGGCACATCTGCATCACAAGGGCTACAGTGGCAGCTGCAGCTTCCTTCAGCGCCGGAAGGGGTTTTTCCGATGACGTCGGTAATTCACCTCCCCAGGCGGTGGCGGACCTAGCCACATCTACACCGGGAGTCAGGCCAGCTTACCTACAGCACGCAGGGGTGTGAATTTTCCACCCCTCTGAGCAGCGTAGCTAAGGGTAGACCAGGGCTCAGGCCTCATCTTCACTGCAGACTTAACATGGGTTCAAACATGGGCTTTGCCTTTAGCCCATTCTACATTCACACACTCACATGCCTCTCTCCCTGCCCCACAACAAAGCAGCCCTCACGCCCTGAGCTACTGGTCAGACCCCGAGTTAGCTCATCCTGCGTGTTGCTAGCCTGAGATAACTGCAGTGAGAATGTGCAGCCAGGGCCACTCACAGGAATCAGTACCCAATGGTCCTCCAGGACGCCCCTTCCCACAAACTTTCTTGCCATCTCCTTTGCTCAGACCCCTGACAGAAGCAGTCTGCCTTCATGTGCCTCTGCTCAGCATCCTCACTCCCACCCTGCTCGCGGTTCCTTTAGCCTCCCCATCTCCAATGCCCAGCAAGAGGCCCATGTACCAGCGGACAGGCTCCGGGTGCTTTCCACCACTGCTGAATTCACAGTGGCTGTAATAGAGCCAGACTCCCCAACACAGATCCTCACGTTGCTGGCCACAGGGAGGTTCCAGGGGGTGCAACCACCCTGTTTTTAGAGCTAGCTAGGGGTGGGGTCCTTGAAACACGTGGAGGGATCCCTGAAAGTTTTCTGTTGTTCCACAGGAATACAGTCTGGAAAAGGCTGGCTACCACAGGCAATAGGGAGACATCCGGGTTGTTAGCCCCTAAAGAACTATGGGCCAGATCCCCAGCTGATAGAAACTGGTCAGTGGAGTGACGCTCATTGAAACTGGCAGAGGATATGGGTTTTATAATCTGGGTTGGTTTCCCACAGCTCTGGGCCCCCTTTGCAGCCGAGCGCTTGGCTCAGTAGCGGTGGGACACATAGTTCCCAGGTGGCTCTGGCCCAGCTGTTGGTCATGTTCCATCGGTTCCAGTACCAATTCACCGGCTGCCTCCCGGCCCCGGGGCTGCACCAGGTCCGGCATGCATTGCAGCGGGGCACAGGCTGGAATCTCTCACACACACACACCCTGCCACTCATGCTGCCCTCCACTCACAACCCCCCAAACTTTTGTTGTTTGTCTTTTAAGGCTCCTCCACCCGGCGTTCATGAATAATTCCTCTTTTGGCTGCCTGAGTGTCAGTGACCTGCCTGCTGCCTTCGCAGAGGGGTGTCTGCCCGCTTTTTTGTCTGCCGTGTTTTAAAGAGAGACTGACAGCTGACAAGGCTTCCCGTAGTGCCCGGCCCCCTCCTGTCCCTCCCACAACAGGGGGCCCATGTACTGCTGTCAGTTTCACCAGATGGGGAGTCCTGGGGCTGGAGGAGAGCAGGCCTGAGGAACTACAATGGGGACTGTTCTTGGCCTGCTCTTTGCTTCAGGGGGCCCTAGAGGTTCTGTGAGAGGGGGGCACACCCAGCATCACGCTGAGCGGCCAGTGCCCCAGGTGTGAGCCTCTTGGTATCCCTTGCCCCTTACCCTGGTATCTGGTACCATCCTGACAAGGGAAATCTTCACTGGTGCCAGGACAGCGATGTAGCAGGTCAGGGTCGAACTTCTAATGGAGACACACTGTGCTAGTCGCTTCTTGGGCTCAGTAGCATCAGTGCAGCGTGTTTACACCGGCGGGGCTTGCGCTGGTGTGGCTACTTCAGTGGAAATCTCCCCCCCACTCCTACCCCAACACACACTACAGACCAGGCAGGAGAAGTGACTCACCCAAGGTCACACAGCTGGGCAGTGGCAGAGCCAGGGAGAGAGCCCAAGAGGCCTGGTTCCCTGTCACCCGTCACCGCGCGCAGTCAGTGCAAAGAGCCCCGGGGGTCGTGTTTGCCACTGATTTTGGCCTGCTTCAGATGACTGCAGCTTGCCCTTCGTGGCTCTCAAAGCTCTTGGAGCACTGCTGTCCCTGGTGGGGAGACTGAGTCACAGAGCGGTAGATAGAACGCAAGCACGCTGACAAATACAAGCGGAAGAAGGAACAGTTTTACGTTAAGTGTCTCCTGGCATCTCGTGAATGCCCATCTGCACGCGCGCACACACACGCATCCACAACGGCCCCAACTTTTATTCCAGATGTTCTGTGCTCTCTCAGCAACTTGGAAGTGAATCAGTCCCCCACACCTGCCCTAGCCTTGCTGATGTCGGCAAGAGAATTTCTATTTGAGGGCAAGTGCCTCTGTAGGAACTTCAAATTAATTAGCAGAGAAAACCCATTCGGTGTGGGGAGAAGTCAGGATCGCTCCTGAGGGGCTCATGCATTTGACAGCAGAGTCTTCGTCAAACACGAGGGCCAATCAAATCTACACAGCAAGTTATTTTAAATTTCCCCAGAAGGCGGGCATGGGTTTGGAAGGTGGCAAACGGAGCTGGCTGGTCTTAGGGGACTGTGGTGTATCATGGTCTAAAATGGGAATTGTTGAGGTATTGTGGAGTCATTTTCTAGCTCTGCTAATCCCTTAATCTCTCAGATAATCAGTACCAAAAAACATAAATTACAATAGAATTGGAGCGCACATCTGCAGTAATACCAAAAGGGTTTGATGGTATCGCAATGCATAATGATTTTTTGCTACTTATTACCAAGTGTTGCCAGTTTATTCCTCTTAAAACAATGAGGTACTGAATTTAATCTTGTAGAGAGAATGCGGATTCAGGGTGTTTGACTGGTGATTAGGGCAGAGGACCTGTGTGTCAGGATTCCTGGTCTCTGCTCCTGGCTTTGGAAGGGAGCGTGGTCTAGTGGTTAAAGTAAAGGGGAGTAAGAGTCAGAAATCCTGGGGTGGTTGGATGGCAGTTGTGGCCTATGAAATATAGGGGCTCAGACTAGAAGATCTGGTGGGTCCCTTCCAGCCTTAAACTCTATTCCCAGATATACCACTAATTTGCTGTATGGGCTCAGACAAGTTGCTGAAAGTCTCTGTGCCTCGGTTTTCCTTCTGTAAAATAGGGTGAGTCAAACTCCCCTCCTGGGGCTTTTCTTGGGGTCCATTAATTGATGCTTGTAAAGCGCTTTGAAATCTAGGTCAGGAAGCATTGGATAAGGGAAAAACTCCTTTACTGTCTGTTTCCCTTTTTTTCTGTGTAAGGGATGGGTGGTTTGACACAGTGAAAAGTAGAATCAGAAAAGAAGAGGTAGGTTCTCTATGCTTGTTACAGGTACCAAAAAGGAAGAGGGAAAAAATTTAGGGCCCGATTCTCCATGGCTTGGCCCCATGTGCAGTTGTTTATATATGAATCAGCATGGTTGTGTTCTCCACTCACTTTGCACAGCTGCCAGTGGCTGTCCAAGGAGAAGGGTAGCAGAGTCAGGCCTTAAGGTCAAGCTTTTTATGAGTGGCTAGTGATTTTTTTGGTGTCCAGTTTAAGACACCGAAAAGGGTAGTGATTTTCAAAGGGTGGGAACTTGGCACTGTCTGGAAATCAGAGCCCTTTAAGGTGTCCCAAGTCAGGCTCCTGGAGTCACTAGTCACTTCTGAATTTCTTATGCCCGAAGCATCCCATGACTCATTGCATGGACCCCACAAAATGAAGCCTTGGCAAGGCATGTAGTCCGCTGGTTCGTGGGAGCCAGGACTCCTGGGTCTTCTTCCTGGCTCTGCTGCTGGCTTGCTGTGCAGCACTGGGCATGTGGCTTAACTCAGAAATCTTTCAGAAGTGGACACTGCTTTGGGTTGGTCCACTTGAGCCCCTTCGGGGTCTGAGAGTCACAGGTGCTAAGCACCTGCAGTGCCAAGCAGGCACATCCAAAGCTCTGCTGCCAAGGGCCCCTGAGCTGTCATCTTGCAGAGAGCCTGATGTTCTGACTGACACATGTCAGGCTGGCCAGTCCGCCGCGGTCCTTCCCTGGATCCCCTGCTTCTCACCCCTGCTTTCTCCTTCCATTCCCTGCAGGTTCCATCGCGGGGACTACACGGTGGAAGTGAGCATCAATGACTACCTGGATATCTACTGCCCTCACTATGAGGACCCCTTCCCGGTGGACAAGATGGAGCGGTATATCCTGTACATGGTCAATTACGAGGGCCACGCTTCCTGCGACCACCGGCAGAAAGGCTTCAAGCGCTGGGAGTGCAACAGGCCCGACTCCCCCAGCGGGCCCCTGAAGTTCTCAGAGAAGTTCCAGCTCTTCACTCCCTTCTCGCTAGGATTTGAGTTCAGGCCAGGGAACGAGTATTACTACATCTGTGAGTATCCCGCGCTGCAGACGGGTGGTGCCCTGCACCCTCTTGGGGAACGACCCTTGTGCACATTGCTGACCGTGGCACTTCCTGTTCCTAACAGGGCGAGGGTGCCTTGAAAAGCCCGGTGGAAGGCCTGGTGCAGAACGTGCAAATTTGCACAGTGAGTGGTTAACAGAGCTCGGTGTAAGCATCTCGCTTAGCAGCCACCCAAAGACCAAGGTGGAAGCACATTGTAGTGAGCTGGAGGGTGGGTATGTGCAGCCCTGCCCGCTACTGGATACAGTCAGAACCGTTCAGCTGTGTGTCACATCCCGGACACTGCTAGCAGCTCTAGTGGCAGGGGCTGTAGCTTTGGAATAGGACAATTCGGGCTCTATCGCGGCTGTCCCGGTGATGTTTCAGGCGGCTTCTGCGTGCCGCGTAGTCCCAGCCGTGACGCGGCAAGCTGGCTACAATGTTGTTTCCTTGCTGACTCGGGGCTTTATGAAATAGCTTGTAAAGCCACAAAATCCACAAAATAAACCATGCAAAGATTCAGGGAGGGCTGGGACATTTTGCTCTAGGTAGAAATTTCCACTGAAACACACATATATTCCAACAGAAAAACACATCGGTAAGGCAGCGATAGGTCTACAGTCTTGAGTCTGTACTTCAGTGAATAATACTGTTCAAGAATCTTCAAGTTCAAATAGTCAGTAAGTAGCCCCGTCGCATCAGGAACCCAGGGTGCTCTTGTCAAACCAGGTGCTCAGACCGCTTTACCTCTGCCCCCATGAGAGGTCAGCTGACCACCTGCCCTCCTTTGCTGACGGAGTATTGAAAGCTTGGCCCATGCCTGCGTCTCCAACTCTCTGCTTTGTCACCGCACCCACCTTTGCCCTGATTGTGCTGTCCAGACACATGGAGTTTTTATATGGAGACGGGCTGGCTCTGGGTCTAATGACACTTAGAGAACTGTCTGCCACATGGAATCCCAGGCCCGGATCCCCTGGGAGCACCTCCTCTGAGATACTCAGTTCTCTCAGCATCTCCCAGGATAGGGCTCTCAGGGCTCCATCCTGCCAAGTGCTGAACACTCTGGCGCTGTCCCAGCAAAGCATGTATAGACACGCTGAACTTCAAGCACATGAGAAATCCTATGGACTTGGGTGACGGACCCAGCGCTTAAAGTGAAGCCCGTGCTTGATCAGGGAACTGTTCGTTGTGGGTGGATAAGGAGTTTTGGATCTTCCCAAGCCATAGCTATGGAGGCAGAGCACAAGGATGGGGAGTAGCATTGGCAGGGAAGCTAGCAGCATTGTGGTGAAATCCTATCATTTGGGCCTCTTCCCTCCTGCAAGGCTAAAATTCCTTTTAGAAAAAGAAAACACCACCAGAAAATACACAGTCTGAACAGGAGCCAGGTTCTGCTGGACGTGGTCTGTCTGCTCTGTGCCGCTCCGGTGATGCAAAGCAGCTGTGAAGCCATCTTAAGCAACCTCTTCTAAACCCTGCTTTATGGCTGCGTTGCAATACCAGAGGTGTGCAATGGAACCGGAGTGTGCTGGGCGAATCTGGCTCCAAATGTCTCAGCTGAAATCTGGAATAACTCTTAGTGCTTTTCACTGTCAGAGCACTTAGCCTAAATACTGCCTGATAGCCCTTTGCAGCACTCCTGCTAGAGGAAGGTGAACGGGGAGACAGGCAGAGCAACTCACCCAAGGTCACAGCCAGAATCAGAGGTCAAGGATCAATGGCTCCCCAGTCCAACATTCATACCCCCACTGACTAGAAATCTGGGTCAAGTGAAAACGTAGTGGGCTGGTCCAATGGGAGCCTTCTCATTAACTTCAACGGGCTGGGCTCAGAAGAAGATCCAGGGTCAGGTTTGAATGGACCTGTCCGTAGCATTCTAGGAGGAATTCTGAATGACTCCCTGGTCTGCTGGCTGTACGGTAACCCCAGACCTGAAATCTTGCTGGGGCTCTTCCTTTCCCTTCAGGATGGGGCCTCTCTTATTTCCATGCACCAGACTTTGCTGTGTTGGTGTGCTAAGGTCATGTCAGTCGCCTCTGGGACCACTGCCTGCTTGGGTCTGCCGAGGTCCTGAAACAAGAACCCCAAGAGGTGTGAACTGCCCCAGTCTTCTTAACTCCGGGGACGGCTGTGAGTGAGCATGCCTGCGGTCCTCGGTTGCCTTCATTCTGCCTCTCCCGGGACACAGCAGCTTCCCGTGCAGCCAATAATAATACCCAGCTCTTCCCTAGCGCTTTTCATCAGTAAACCTGAACATGCTTTACAAAGGTGGGCAGTATCATTAGCCTCATGTTACAGATGGGGAGACTGAGGCACAGAGCAAGAAAGCATTCCTCAGGGTCACAGCCAAGACTAGAACCTAGGTCACCTGAGGCACAGCCCAGCACTCCAGCCACAAGGCCCTGCTGCTGGTCAGAACAAAGCTCACCTTTTTGTGGGGTGATGGAGGGTTTATTATGGTTTAAAGCAGCCACTCCGTTTACTCTCCACGGATCATGCCAGAATCTGACACACTAAAGCTGGCATTAACTGAGCCTTCGTTTAAGACCTGGGCCAGCTGAGTGCTCTGAAAAATAGTAAACCAAACACCAAACACACAGAGAGGCTCCTGGGTGAGTCAGTTTTCCTCCCCGAGAAGCCAGGGATGAGAGCATCAGAGCTCATTCTGCCCCTGCCCCATGGACCGTTCGCCTTGTAAAATTCAGAGCTCCAGCTTCCTGGGGGGTCTCCCCTGCCGGGGGCTCCCAGCAAGCAAAAATAATCAAGTGACTGTAATTAGCCGCCCGACCACCCATTGGGGAAGCTGGTTTACGTCTCTGTTTTAACAGAGCCCCACTTATCTTGATTAGAAGCAGGGCTTTTGTCCTGCATTTCTTTTAACGGAGGCTGGAGCGTCGCGGAGAGGGACACCTAGCCAAACTAAAGACACTGCCTTTGGGGCTAGGACAGAGGAGAAGGTTCCATCCAGGCCTCCTCATTCGGAGGGCCAGGTTGGGGGCGGGCGCAGGGGGAAGCCGTTGAGTCCCTAGTTCAGTTGGAGAACTGATCCCTGGTGGAACTCCATTGATTCCAGCCTGGGAAATTCCATCTGCACTGGTGGGGGCCTAAAATTGGGGGTCTGAGTCAAAAGCGTCCATTGAGTCAGGTTCCAAACCAGCCCCCCCATCTGTATCTCCCAGTGCCGTCACGGCTGGTGGGGTCTCCAAGGACTAGGAGATGGGGGTACAGCCTCAAAGGGACGTATTTGGCCTTTGAGAAGACACAGGAGGCTGATCTTCCTCCTTGGCCAGAGCTGCAAAGTTTTGGTGGATACAGAAAGGCTGGGTCTTGGTTTGCAGGAGAGGGTGAAGAGTCAGAGGGTCATGTGGCTCCCCAGTATCTGTCGTCAAGGAGGTGGTACTAAGGGCTGTCTCTCGCCTTCCTCCTGTCCCTTCCCTTCGGGGTGCTGAGAGCCATTAAGCCTGCATATAATGGAAACCACTTCAAGCCAGGGGGTGCTGTAGCACCCCTAGTCCTAGCACCTATGTTTCCTTTGGATTAGACCCACGTAGCAGAGAGCAGGTTTCAGCTCACCCGCACCTCTGGCCCGACCAGCGCTATATAGAGCGCTGCTGATTTAAGGGCTGCTCTTGCCCTACACACCACAGGAATGGCTGAGATCAGCTGCAGCTACGTTGGCTTGTGGCCCTGGAAGCACGTGCTTGGGGACTGGAGTGAGGCCATTTTCAATAGAGCATCCCAGGTGTGAAAAGTTTTAGATAAGGATATAAATCCTCATTCTTTACGGCATGAGCCAGCCTAAATAAGAGGATCAGGAGGGAACTTTCTATGGAGGCAGGTTACCCTCTCACTGCCTCCTGCAGGATTTCTTACACCTTCCTTTGAAGCATCTGGTGCTACCCATTGTCAGAGAGAAGACACTGGGCTAGATGGACTTCAGGTCTGATCCTGTCTGGCAATTCCTACGTTCTTGTGAATCTCATTCTTTTTAGAGGTCTGGCCACCTCCAGAGTTACAGCCTAGCCCAGTTTACAGCATTTAGCACCCTGACAGGTCCTTTACAAACAGCCCAGAGAGTTACTCCTGATTTGCCCCATTCCAAGGCCCCGATCCTGCAAATGTTTAACCACATGCAGAATTTGACTCACATAGTTAACTGAAATGCGCTGCGGGACTCCCGTTCTTAAAGCCAAGCACACGTGTACAGGATCAGGCCCGAAACAAGAGGAGAATTGGGCCCATTTTTAATTTTCAACCTCCAGAGTGGATGTACACAAGACAAAAATCAAATAGGGAAAAGAGTTGCATGATGGGGCCTGAGCCAAAGCTGATTGGAGCCAGTGAAACAATTCCAACAGTTTTGCAATTAAAGGTTAAAATTAAAAAAAATTAAAAATCGTGATCCAAAAGCACTTGATGGTGTCATTTGAAGCCAGGCGCCCTTCTCCTTTTGTGTGGGAACTACCAGCACCGTTATCTTTCTTATTATTTTCCCCCTTTTTCTAAAGCATCTGTTTGGAAACCACTTAATTTGTTCCTTTTATCTAGATTAAATTACCATTCTCCCTTCCCCCATAAAATGTCACTTGTGAAATAACTGCGTCTACAACTCTCTCTTTTCGTATTCTGTTTTTTATTATTATTTTATTTTTTAATGTCGTTAGGGACAGATTACACAGGAGTAAATGGTGAAACTGATCATTGCTAAACCAGTTAGAATTCATGTCATGCGGAACATTAGAAATTATGCCTCTTTGAGGAACCATATTTAGCAGACATGAAAGAAAAGAAATTACCTCCTTCTAGAGCTCACAAATTGGAATTCCATTAACCTCGCAGGCATAGAGATGAAGCTTTGTGTTCCCAGTTCTGGGTCAAGGTTAAGAGCCGGCGCTGGGGACACGAGCAAATGGTGAGATCCATTTGCCGATTCGTACTGGATCAGAATTTACAGCAGGGGTCAGAAGATCTGGAACTGGGTTACTTGG